GGAAGTTCCGCGTGAGCAATGTGAGAGAGCGTGGAGAGCACTCCGGGCGATTTCCCTGCTTCCGTGTGGAATGACACCACCGGTAGATCAGGCGGCAGAGGATACTTTGCTAAAAACTTCCTTCTCTTGTCGTGCGTTAGATCCTCTAACGCGGTCATGTCTCCCTGGAAAGAAGAAAAAAGTTTAGAATGAATCAACAGAGAAAGTTTACTACGTTACCTTGATGATCTTGCAGATAAGAAGCTCCATGATGCGCCTCGTCTCTACGTCGGCAATCTGGCCCTCGCGAAGAATGTCGGAAGCAAGTGGGCTGCCTCCATACGGACTTTGTACCAAGACGATGCCCACGACTTTGTCTTTGATTTCGGGCCAGAACATCGATGCTGCTGCCGCTGCGTCAACTCCGCCTTTGCTGTGACCCAGCAGCACGATTTTCTTTCCTGTTCCCCAGTATAACTCTTCGATGTAATCTTTGAGTTCTCGTGCATTCGTTTCCACCGCAGCCTATGGAAGAGCACTGGTATCTTAGAAAGAAAAGAGAGAATGTTATACCTCACTATGTATTCGAGCAATATGACAAGTCAAGCCGAGTTTAGAAAAATATCTCTTTGTATCCACAAAATACAGAGGTCCATGGTTGCTAAAGAGCCCTGCAAGATCGTCATTAGACGTGTGAAATACCACGGACAGTAGAGAAACTTACCAGGAACCAAAAGATATACGTAATCATTGGGGAGTGCGTGAAGACCGTGACTGCAAGCTTACAAGTATTAGAGTAAACCTTACACGCAAGAAGCAGAATTGGATACCTTATGTCACCAAGAATTTCCTCGAACCTTTGCGTTCCGTCTTCCACTGGTGGAAAACCCGGCGTTTTTTGCAACCATCCAATATCATCAGCAGAGCCCCTGAGTGTAGTTTGCACTCGTGTCATAAGTCTGCAGATACAAGCAACGGAATTCCTTAGAACCGGCCAAAATCAAACAGTGACGCAAAATGCCGACAATCAGAGTTGGCACACTCCGTTACCTTCTCACTTTTTCATGACCGCATGCAAAACGCAAGTAAGCCATTCTGGTGCAAGCAAATGCTATTCGCAAAGCACATCCAACAGGACAAAACCTGGGAAAAAGGGAAGGTCTTCGAGTTAAGGGAGTTAGAACATCTAGGACTCAAGCAGCCAGACATGAAACTCAAATCAGATTTACCAGGAACGAAAACACTGACCCTTGCCACGGAGCGGGAGAGGAGTTCAAAAAGCTTTGACCCAATGCAGCCCAAAGGGACGTCGCTCGCTCCACCGGATTGCTGGAAATCCCGTTTTGAGTAGTGACGATCATGCGTGACTCTCCACTGCTTGATGGAGTTGATTCCACTGCTACGGTTGTTTGCCTGACACTAACATCCTGTCCCATGCTTCCCGCAGGTTCTTCCACGGACTCGTCTACGTGAAAAGAAAAACGAAAGGGAATTACCGACATATGAATGCGAGAAGAACATACCAAGTAAGCTGATAAGCCTGCGACCAACATAAGACGCTGTTTGAGCTAATCTCGTAGAAACTTCGTTGATGGTCGCAATTGGTATGGTCGATCCATCTTGAGACGATGTAAAAGCAGGCTGCAAACGTAAGCTCTAGAGATGAGTATGATTTTTCTCTGTATTGACAAAGATTACCACGTCAGAAGCGTCGAGTTCCGAGACAATCACCTCGGCCGATGGAGGATCTGTAAGACAAAAAAGAAACTGGAAGTTTAGAACAAGAACTTGAGGAGCTAACGCAAGAAAAAAAAAAAGAAGAAAAGAAATCCTCTAAGACGTGGAGATGGACCTTTGGGCTCCATAAGAAGGATTTCACTAAAGAAACCGGATTGTTAGTAGAAGAGGCAAAGATCGAGTGGAGAAAATTTCGAGCTGACTCCAACATCGAGCCTGTCAATCCCTGCTCATTGGCAGGCTAACGCACCCGATCAGCTTACCCTCCAAGAATATTGACGCGCAAAATCGCTTTCCAGACTGCCCTGCGATCCAAAGAATCACGTGAGCTCCGCGCATTCTCGAATTCCAATGCAAGACAGTGCCGGATCTAGAGATTCACCTCGCACAAAGAACCCTAAATATCCGAGAAGCCAATCGATCGCGGCGGCGAGACGCAACGCGCGTGGAAAAAGGAGTGGAGATTTTCACTGCGCCATCGCTGTCGCCGCGCCCGCGCCCTCGCTAAACGCTCACACCACCGAGCGAGAGGAGCGAAGAAAGATTCAAGCGGCGCCAAAAGCATATTCCGTCGGCGCCACGTATCGTTCCGTCTTCTACCTGGCTCAGTACGTGGCGCGTTTTGGTGCTGCCACGTTTTAATCAGCTGTGCGCTTTCGGCCAATGGACAGTGTGCGGTGTGTGAGATTTGGATAAAGCTTTGGCCTCTCTTGTTTGACCAGGTCTCTCGGATTTGTGATAATGCAGCCTTTCGTTTGATTGGAGCGCTCGGGGAATTTGCTCCGATAGGCCAGGCGCAGAAAGTTTTTTTAGTGTGGATTTGTGGGGCAATATGGTGGAATCTACACATATAGGTACTCCACTGCTTCATCTAAGTTGTTCAACCAGCGGATGGCACTTCTCTTAGCAATGCTTTTAAATAACATGAAATTAATCTAAATATATAGTATGTGTTTTAACTTTAAAAATGTTTTAAGAAAATAACTATTAGAATGGAGCATATAGTAGACTAATCTAGATTATCTAACTAGTACATGTCACTTACGCAACCAGAAAGAATCTATCCAACTGCTCTATAATAATATTGTAGTGTATGTAAAGCATCTACTACAAAGTTGTTATATTGTTTATGTTGTCTCATGACCTTGAATTAGGACATTGAAGAGCATATATTATTCTTATGTAATTATATATTTGGGGAAAACACTTATCAAAACACAGTTTTGACTTGGCTACGCATTATCTCCTCGGTAATTGTAAAATCAAAATGAGAAACATTTATTTACTCAAGATAAGATAAGTTAAGTTCCACAAATATGTAATTGTGCATTCTGGATATATACAAAAACCTATACTGAATATATATATATGTATATATATACATAAAAGATAACCCTAATAATTTTTATAAAATTTAAACAAATTATTGAGAGTGAGCAGAATAACATACCAAAAAGAGATGTCATGCATATAAAACTTTGCTTCCAGGATATAAAGATAAAAGTCCCAGAAACCTTAGTAAAGTTTAATATACTTTCTTCAAGTATGCTTCAAAAATTAGTATGCTAAATTAAACTTATGAACAAAATTCATATTAGTTTGCAAAATCCTTATATTCATAGTGTTGAACATATTGAATTTATCAGCTGAAAGATAATGGACAAATTACACTTATAAAATTTCAAGTTCTATATGACATATTGTTTTTCTTTTCCATTTATTATTTACCACTAAATAACTTCTTACATCACTCAATAATAATGATTATTTTTAAGTTGGAAGGAGAGTAAAAAAAATATAAGGTCAATAAGATTTTCAACTTTGGCAAAATGGGCAATTGACAAAAACTTATTATTTACTTAATGTGTTTTATTTTAACAATAATATATTAAATAGTTAAATATGAGTCTTCTATTTGAACAACATAAAGTTACAAAAAATATTTCTTTCAACATGCCAGCTATCATGATCTTGTGAAATGAATTAGCACCAACATTATACTAGTTATTGTTAATCCACATTCTCCTGTTCTTTAGCAATTCAAAATTTTTAAGAAAAGAAATTATAACTATTATTTTAACCATAAATGTAGCAAATTAAAGTCTAAATTCAATATTTAAAATGATAAATATTGAGTCGTGACTCTTGAATATTAGGAGAAAAATATGTGTTAAGATGAAAGATCTAAATAATTTATTGCTTAATAAAGAGTATGAATGTTTCTTAATTTCATGGTTTTTAATTTAAATAATAAATAATTTAAACTTAAAATTAATTTTAATTATATATTATGAGGTTCAAGTGTACGGTTACAATGCCGTATACTAATATTAGCATAGTGGGATTTTAGTAGCCATCTAATTGATTTCAATCTGGACCACTTGCTCCTATATATAAACTAAGGTTTTTTGGTTTTCATCCTTCTAGATCCATACAAGTGATAACTACACTAACCACCACTCTCAAACACAGTAAAAATAAGAAAAAATCAAGATTATCAAATAGTTTAGATTTATCAAAACTATCTAGGAGACAAAACAATTGGAATCTTAGTTCATGTAGCTCGTCAAGAATGTTTGTCAAAGCTTCTCTAAATGATGGATATATCTAACTCATAGCTTTATACATATTATATTAAAGAGTATAGATAATATAATTTGATTTATCTATTATTTCTTATTTTAAATATTAAGTCTCTGTTCAAAACTATTTTAAGAAGTAAAACTACTCAAAACAGAAATGGAATTTGTCTAATTTTTAAAATACCTTTTTTTGTAACCTGTTGTTAAATTTTGTGAAGTTTAGTTAATGTAGTAGATGCTCTTTTGATCAATAATTTTTTGGTCAAGATTTGAGCCAAATGGCAAAAGAAAGATGAGCTTGCATTGGAAAATATTGTGGGCCTTGCAAGTCTGCAGGCCGAAGGACAAATGTTGGTAAACAAAAAGAATCACAACAAGATTCAAAATGATTGAACGTATGGTATGCTTCACCCATCCAAACATTTCTTCATTTCTTTCCAAATCGTTTTCTTGTTCTTCTACCTTCTATATGCTTCCTTCGTGTTAGATGCGCTTGAATCTTCTGCTTGACGAGAGGATTCTTCCGGATGCTCCAAACGCCAACGCGTCCGGCTAATCATGACCCTCCATAAACCTGGTCGTTACCGTTCGATGCCTTTAGCTCCGTACACCGCGCCCTCGGTGTACGGTACCCTGGGATTTTTAAAATCCGGGCAAAGCCCTCTTGTCGTGGTTTCATCCAGGCATCTTCGAGCGGGAGGAGCGAGAGCGTGCCGCAAGGAGAGACGCCCGGCCAGATTTCGATATTTCGATCGCCGCGCATCGCGATCATCCACGATCATCGCAGGTACATTGCGTGTCGAGCGGAATCGCCCCGGTTTTCTTGCTAGGAAAGGCATCGATCGATCGTCGTCTCACTGCTCTGGCCGCTCCCTCGGCTTTCACGCTTTTCCTCTGCGCGGTTGAATTCCAGGCTAGGATTCCCGTGATAGGGCTTTGGCATCCCCCCGCTTTTCGCCTCCTCTTTGGCCGCCATTGAATGGCTTCCCCCACATTCCTCGCTTTTCTTTGAATGCGCTCCCAAATCTCCTCCTCTCCATGAAAAGCAGGGGCCAAGAAGCAGCGTTTCTTTGCATCGAGATGGCCGCCTCCGAGTCTCCAGCTCCCCAGGTCGCAGAGAATTTCCCAGACTGCCACGGCACGGCGCCAGCAGCGACAGGCTATGGATGGCTGAGCCCTCGGATTTCGTTCTCGACAGATTTTGGGGTCCTCGCAGGGAAAGATTCGCCACGCAGGGAGGAGGCATCGGGCGTCCTGGAATGGTCCACCGAATTCGAGTTTAGCCTCTCCATCGAGTGCCCCGGGGGGTCGCCAGCCGACGAGATCTTCTGCGAGGGGAAGCTCGTCCCGCTCCAATTGCTGCCCTCGTCTCATCGATCGCCAATCCTGCTCGTCAAGGAGCTGCTGGAGGAGGAATCGGGCGGTGGCTCATCGCGGGACAGGTCGTGTGCTTCGTCGGGATGTGCCTCGCCTCTCATTGTCAAGTCGGCATCGTTTCCTCCCGGATCGCCCACGGTAGTTCTGCCAGCCGGGGAGATTTTGGGACGGGGTTTCCACGCCACAGCAAGCAGCAAAGGGAATTCTTCCAAGTCGTACTACCCAGGCCTCCACACTCTCAAGCTCGTGACGCTGTTCTTCCGGCGGCAATTGGGAAGAACTCCGCCACCAAGGCCAGCTCCTGTTCCATCGCCCAGTGGCGACGGCAATTCGGCGCAACCCGGTGACACCACTCCCTCCGTCATCGAGTTGACACGATCCAGCTCAACTAGCAGCTCCGGAAACTCGCGCCGGCGATCAAAGTCAACCAACTCGGGCCGGATCCTGTGGATGAATCTGGAGAGGTGTAGCAGGAAGAACGCGGACCAGAGCAAGAACAGGAGGAGGAGGAGAGCGAATCCGGGCGACAAAACAGGGTCGTCGTCGTCGTCGTCGTCCGGAGCGCCGGGATCTTTCTCGTCGAGCGTGAGGGTGGCGCCGGTTCTAAACGTTCCGATGTGCATGGGGCCGGTGAGGGAGACCAAGAGTACACTGGCGGGCCTCCGCAAGCTGTTTCATGGGAGGAAGGCGGGGTTGCAGAGGGTGACTTGGGCTTGTCCGGGCGGCGCAGTCTAGCGGAAAGGCCTGGAGGAGTTTCGGAGGCTTCGAAACGTTTTCTCGAGTACTATACTATCATAAGGAGGTGACACCGTCCGTTATGCGAGACTAGATCAGGCCTAAATATGATCGAGTAGCAGCAGCGGCAGAGATGAGCAATCTAGGAGAGATTCTGGCTCCGAAACGTAAACGTAAATCCCAGCAGCGCAGCTATCCGTGACTGAGGTATGTTTTTAAACTTTTCCTGGAGTTTGTTCTTGCTCCATTGAATTCCTTGCCTGCTGCCTTGGCGATTAAAATACTGGAAAGAGTAATGGGCTCTGTTTGCTGGCAGGCATGAGGAGCTTTTCATTCGACGCGCTGCGTACGTTTTTCGTCTCGCACAAGACTGACGTCAGCTGTTGGCGGTGGGCGATCTTCTCCGAACTTCTTCTCTCGCGTCGCTCGGCGGTGACGGCCGATTGAGGAAGGGAATGTCCGCAGCTTTCTGATGAATCCGTGGGCGTTGTTGGAGACAATGAGAGGCCAGCAGCCGCAGCAGCATTGACAAAAAGGTATGTGTTCTTTTTTCCTCTGAACTCCTCCTTTTTTTTGCTTTCTTTTTGGCTGTGCTTGAGGTTAGAGAGATGTTGCATGTGCTGCTTTTCTGCTGGTGGTCGTATGCTTGCAGGACGTCTTGTCTGTCTTGTGTGTGCTTGCGCTGCGCAAAGCGCCAGAAATGTGTCTTAGTGCTGCTGAAGGGAAGGACTGTGCCTCCGCGTACGAGCTTTTCTTCACTTCCTCTGCAAAGGCATGGTTTTGTCAATTTTTTCCGATTGCAACTTCCTGGGATCAAAGCTTTTTTCTTTCTTTTATCTTCTAAACTTGTGCGTATCTCTCTCCAGGATGAAACGAACTCCGTCATGCAGCAGGATCAACGTGCAGCAGTGCAAGAATCTAAAAGCGAAAAGAGCTTGTGCAATGCAAAATCGAACTTCAGTGACACACAAAGGTATGATGTTTGTTCAATCTCAACTTGAGCAGGGATTACTTCGCTACCAGTAGCACAAACTCTTCACTTGAGCGGACAGCATGGTGAATGCTTCGTAGAACATGAGAACAACGAGAGTATACTCAGGTTTCTTCCGGTTTAGCGGCTTGAGTGGTGCTCAAACGTTCCTGTGTAAAGGGAGAAATCAAAGATCAGCAAAGGTCATGGTGTGAGATCCTAGCTTTGCTTACAAGAAAAAATTCCTTCTCTGCAGCCGACAAATCTGAAGACTGAGTTACCATGATGCGTAAAGAGTTTTCCAACCAAGTTTCAATCGTCAAACCATTTCTACACAATGAGATGAAACTAAATGTTCTACCCGCAAATCTGAGCCCATCCATGGAATATTACTATCGCCACTAGCAAACGCAACTTACAAACCCTACCACCTTTTATACACGCTACCTTTTAGTTTGGAAAAGGTAATGATAAACCCTGGTTAGGGTTGGGGCTTTACTTTTTTCCTAAACCTAGATATATAAACCTGGAATAAACTGTTAGAGCTCTCTCTTTTTAGGGTTTGTTCAATGCGACAGCTCCATTTGAAGAAAGCTCAAATCTCTGGCGCCCATGATGGGCCGCTTCCATCCTGGGACAGATCTAGCAGAGGCGGCGGCGGCGTCCGCGGCGGTGAGGAATCCCGGGGAATTGACGAGGCGGCGCTGGCGATCAATCATCTCCTGGGAATCGCTGCTCTGGGGCTGGTTTGCGTCTGGTGTGGAAATGTAAGGGGAGGTCTGCTCTGGAATTCCCCCAACAAGGATCTCCTCTTCAATGTAAGCTCGATTCGTTTCTTTCTCGCTGGCTGATCGCTGGATCCACAGTTCCATCCGGTGTTGATGATCGCGGGCTTCGTCTTCGTGCACGGTCAAGGTAAGATCTACTCTATCGATCGAGATTTTCGGAGAGTTGAAGTGGTCAGCGCATTAATTCTTTCTCTCTCGCAGCGAATCTAACGTATAGAACACTGACTGGCAGCAGGAACTACAAGAAGGCGATCCATTTCCTGGCACAAGGATTGGCGCTCGTCCTGGGAGCTGTGGGGTTTCTCGCGGCTCTCAAGTTCCACAATGACAGAGGCATTGACAACTTTTATAGCTTGCATTCGTGGTTGGGCCTCACAACCATGACACTCTTTGTCACGCAGGTTCGATTTCACAGCCCCATCCTCATTAATTTGATTTTAGTTCTTCAACACTTTCATGCCTTGTGCGTGGTTTTCTTTCCCTGGAGTTTTTTTTTTCTTCTCTCCTCCCTTTATTCCTCTTTTTCCTTGGTTAAATCCCAGAAACCTTTCCTCGTTTCAAAACTTTTCTCTCCAGTGATCTCGAAGAGTCTTTCTTCGAGATAGTTTTTTCCTCTTGATGTTCCTTTCAAAGTTCTAGGATGATCCTAGAACTTTGGAATTTTTGGAATTTTGTTTCTAGTAGAACTTACGCTTGTTTTTTTGCAGTGGACGGTGGGATTCGTCTCATTTTGGTACCCCGGTGGCTCCACCGCCGCTCGATCTTCCATTCTCCCATGGCACATCTTCTCGGGGATTTTTCTCTACACTTTGAGCCTAGTTACTGCCGAGACGGGCCTTTTGGAGAAGTTAACTTTCCTCCAAACTTCCAAGGCCATCGAAAGATTTGGCAGGGAATCCACCCTGGTAAATTCCCTGGGATTAATCCTCGTCCTCCTGGGCTTCTTCCATGCGCTTGCGTTGCTAACACCTAAACCGCCAAGATGATCATGAGAATCACACAGGTTCTTCATATTAGAAGTTTGCCGAGGAATGAAAATGCTTTCCAAGATTATCTACGTTATGGGCGTCCAAACCGCACCAGTTTAGTTTAAGGTGGACACGCATTGTTTGAGCACAACCAGTATCCTAGGAACCTCTCTATATGACCTGATCACAAACTATGCACACTACCAAAAAGATGTATTCCCTGGATGAAATAGTGATGGAAAGCATGATACACCCTTCCGCTGTTGAGCATTAATTTTGCGACAGTGGAATGTTCACAAACTGCTGCAGAGCTGGAGTGGAGATTTCTCGAATATTGTAGTTTTCCCATGGTCGACATAACCTAACCAACATAACAAGCTCTTTACAGTCATGAGAGCCCAAGCAGGGCATCAGGCCAGTTTTTTGTTGAATGAAGAGCTGCTCGAGAATGCAAAGTAGAGCTGTGGCTGATGTGATTGCAGGAGAAAGTCATGAAAAGGTGAGGTGAAATCCAGGGAATCCTCCAGCCTTACATGTGAGAACCATCCAAATATTACTTGTCAAATGTCCAAATCATTACTCTTCAAAAAATGCAGATGCCTAATATTTTGGAAGAATTAGCATTTAGATTCTTATTGTAAATCTATTATAGTTACATTAAATTTTAAAGGTATGAGAGCATAATATGCTTTCCAAAGTAAGTGAGCAAGCTTGAAATTTTTAAACACTTTGCAAAAGTTTTTAATAAAATATCTAATACAAATCTATGATATGCATTATTAAATACCAATTGAACACCTTCTAACACAAATGTTTTCTAATAAAAAAGCCAAATTTAATTATCCTTATTTTTAGTAATTGTCACACTAAATGTAAGAGAGTAAAATGGGCCTTGTTACAAATATTTATCAAAGGTATCTTAACGTCAAATATGTCATATCAAGATTGATTAAAAGTCTATAACACACAAAACTAATAATAAAGAAAACACTATACAAGATAAAAAGCCTTTTAAAATTAGAATTTTCCATCAGCTTTGACATGAAATATGTTATCTAAATTGCTTAAAAATAAGAAAAATTTCATATTCAAATAGTTGCATATAAGTTATATCATAATCTCTATAAATGTTTGTTATAATTTTCTTGTTTTCTTTTCAAATTTTTTAATATGCTTACAATATATTTTAGCCATCATGCTTTTTGGAATCACATTTAGTTTACCTCTCACTCATTACTTGAAATAATCTACAATCCAATTCACCAATGTCTTTTTGTTTCCCAAATTCTTTATCCCATTATATGAATGTTTATTCACAAAGTAAGATGAACCTTTGTCAATAAAAAAGCTTAAACGAGTCTTTCTTTTGCATCAAATTATGTATCATTTCCTCTTTAATTGGCTCATGGTAAATTCAAAATGTTTAGTAATAGCTACATTTTTCATTGCTATTCTTAGATCGTCAATAGAATTATACTTTGCCGAAATAAACTCCATTTAGTTGTGATTAAACAATATTTATTTAGCCATAATTTATCTAGGTTAAAATAGAATATTCTTTTAAAATGCTCTTAAACTTCATAGGGATTTTTTTATAAATTTAAAACTTCAAGAGGTATTAATTTGCAAATATAGCTTTTAAGCAGTTTTCCCTTAATTTTTGTAAAATATAAGATTAAATAGTGCCAAAGGTAGTTTTACTATCTAACTCTTGACAACTCTTGCTCTTGCAACTTTACTCTCTCTCACATAAAGTAATGGAGAGATAGCCTTGTTTTACCTTGACTTTTATAAATAAAGATCTTTGTTGTCTTTTTTGTCATTAGTTTATCAATTTTTATTCTAGCGTGCAACTCGATCATTTTGCAAATCTAAGCTTTCCTATTGTCTCTAACGAGCTTTTTTGTAAGTTTTGTGTCAATTTTTTAGACAAAATATTATTTGTTTTTCTTAGATTACTTGGTTATAGGATTGATATTTTTTTGCAATGATAAGCCCTTTTGCACAATAATGGTAGCTTGTAGATGCTTGCATTATAAAAAGAAAAATGAATCTGTAAGAATATTTAATAATCACTATATTGGTGTTAAGCAAAATAAGTATGGAAAACATTTCAAATGGAGTTAAAAGATGAACATTCTAATTTTATTCAATTGATCCCAATTGTAAAACAATCTATACCTTGATCCCCTTCCTAATAGAAAAATACTTTCTTAGGATTTCTGTTCTTCCAAATACGTAATCACAAGACCAGATATCAACTTCTCTCTAGAAACTTTTTCTATGAATGACACAATTGTTCAAGGTCTAAAAATGTTATATTTTCTGAATATTAAAATTAAATAGTGGATTAAATTACTAAACTTAAAGTAGTGGATATATTGCTATGGCATAGCCAAATATGGACAAGGAGCATATATTATATTGTGGGAAGGGCAACAAGGACATACTCAATTTTAACTAACTTTTTTTTCAAATAAAAAATTTCATCACTAATATATTAGCTTGTTGAAATGATTGTTAATCCTAAATCTAGCTCAATGAAGAGAGCATAACAAATTAGTAAGTTTTGATATAGTTTTTCGTTGTAAAAATATTAAATGTAAATTCAACATAAAAGCTACCTCTTGTTTATGTTTATGGAATGCAATATTAAGCATTTACAACCAAAGATGATAAGTTTATATAAAGGTGAAATAAAGAGTAATAAGCATATTCTTTTATCAAGAAAAAAATCAATAAATAAGTTAGTATTTTACATTACACCACTAAAGACAAAAGATAAGGGATTATAATCAAGCTTAGTAGCTTGAACTTCAATGTATTAAAATATTTATTAATATTTTTACTCTAATCAGATTTTTAAACTAATTGGCTAATGCATGAATACAATTTTTGGTTTTGATTTTTTTATCTCTAAAAGGATTTTGGAATAAAGAAGAAAGAGAAACTTAAAAATTATAAAGATGAACAAATTTGTGCTATTATATACTTACTTGTTTGCTAGTAAAATGGTGGAAATTCCATGTTACTAGAAATTTGCATCATTAGCCATTTATAAATTGTTGTGCAAAAGTTATTGTAGATTTAGTTGCAAATCACCATGAATAAATCTTCTTATATGTCTTTGGTACATCTTAAGAGCGTATCACCAATATCTCCATTTTAAATATGTGTGATTTTAAAAAATTTCACTAAGCAAGGTGCTAAGGACTTATCAACCCAAAATCTATACCACCAGCACAATCTATGATAGTTAGGGTATGATTGATGGTGATGAACTAAAACAACACTCATATAATAACATCTTATGTCAAATTTGTGAATATATAATATATATTATTCTTTCCTTTCTCTAGATAATCTTCAATATATAATTTAGCATGGGATCTAGGTTGTTAGTGGTAGGATTGAATAATGATGTTATGCTATAATAGAATTTGTGTAATGATATTCTACATTAGATTTCTTTACCTTGGCACACTAGTGTAGGATATATACCAATTTTTAGAATTTTTAGATTTATTTCCATAGAAATTTTCTAGTTGTAACTTTGTTTTTAAGAGATCACTTATCAATGGTTATATAAACTAAAAATATGGGGAAAATTTATTAAATAGTGTAGAATTAATTTCCACTACTCTAATTTAGAAATAGCTTTTGCAGCTCGAACAACTCCTAAAACCTTATTGTAATTATTATATGCCCCTAGCAAGCATATTTATTCTCGAGTAATGGGAATTGTAGAAGAGGTAGAAGAGGTTAAATATGCAGTAATAGTAGTGTTTTTAAAATGACACTCCAAAGTTGATATTCAATGATTTAAAGTGGTCTTTACCATTGAGTAACTTCCTTTTATGGTTACATGCAACTAGAATAGAAATAAAAATAAAGGCAATATCTTTTGGCACTTTAATAACTTTGAGTTTGGTAAATAAATCAAAAGTTACTATAATATAGGCATTTTATGAGTAGTAGCAAGCAAGGAAAATTTAAGAATATATATTATTTGCGAAAAGCTTTATGTAGTAAAGTTAAAATGGCCATTCTAAGTATAAGTGTCTATAATGAAAATCTATGAAACAAATATTTTTTCTAACATTTGGAAGAGGATCACTTTAGTTTTCAAAAAAAAAATCATTTTAGGAGTACATCAGAATTGATCCCAAATAAAGGTATTAGATATAATTGTGAAATTTGATTAAAAAAATGATATAATAGTTCTCATCTAAATTCTCATATATATTCCATTTATTTTACTAAATAAATTAATTATAAAATAGCATAATTGGTTTTTGGATAGAAACCCATTTAAAATTTCAAACTTGCATAATTCAATTTTCTATATAAAATGGGTTTAGTAAAGGGTATGACTAAGGGTTAAATATTTATTTTTTGCTGTGCATTTGTTCTTCAATAATTTAGACTTTTATTTGTATTGAATCCACAATATTTAGATTTTTAAAATAATTTTCCTTAAATTTATTTATCATAACAATTTTGAGTGACTTTTTGAGAGTTTTAAAATAGTAGTTATATGTAAACTCCCAAAATGTTATTTATTCCAATCTAAACTTTTAATTGATTCGAAAAAAACTTCATTCCGTTTGGCGTTTAGTAGTGCCAGCGTCGATTTCACAAGTGCCACTGCCGATGATTCTTTCCAGAGAAAGAAAGATTCTTTATATATTTAAATTTTAATAGATATTTTTCAAATTAATCTTTTTTATTATTTATATTATGAAGAGTTGTTTTATTTGGCTATAATAATATTTTAAAAGCCTTCACACTCAAAATTAATGGTATTTTTGAAAAATTAAAAAACTTTTTATTTTTTTAAAAATATTTTCTTCTAATTTGATTTTATTGTGAAAAATATGAGTCAAGATGTTGAAGAGTGTCATTCATTATGGATCTTTTAAAAGTTGTTTTGAAATTTTTTATTAATTTTTTAAAAGTATTTATTCGACATTAGAAAGGATCAATATGTTTGAAAGAACTTAAATTATTAGAAAAACTATAAACATGATTATTAATATATATTTAAATTCACATGTGTCATGTTTTTATTTAATACACTTTTTGTAGGGATGAGGAGTATAAAGTAATTGAATAATTAAAAATGATTAATAATTTATTGTGGTAAGTGATAGTTACTCTATCCTAGTTTTAGTTTTTATTTAATTCAAACAAGCATGACATTTGTGCTATAAGCAATAACTAACCAATTTGATACTAGCTTTTATATCAATTTTTTGTTTTGATACCAACTTTTATATAAATAATTTTTTTAGATAGGCTTTTAATGTTTAAATACTTAAATATGGAAATTAAACAAACAATTTCTTTTGTTCACACGCAAAGTGTCCTTTGATTAGCAATTAACAGGTTCCAACTTACATGACCTATAAAACTATAATATTGTTTATCTGCTACTCATCCTGGCATAAAACACAAATCTTCTCACCACAGCCAAGGCTTTCAATGTTTTCACAAAGAAGGGCCTGAAGGAAACTGTGTCAATGTTTTTATATATATACTACCAAATGGACACTGTGAAGGGTGATATAGAAGACTAGAATGGTTGTTCAACAAAATGAAGAATGCAGCTTCCACCTACTAGGTGCACTTACCTCTGGATATGTGAACACTGGAATACATGAACCAAACAGTTTAGAATATCACTATATCTGACTATAGAAGAAACTATAGAAGAACAACAATTGAGCCACATTATCAAGCACACAATAGATAGTACATTACCTCCATAAAATTGAGGTAGCTTAAGACTATATCTGGTGCCTCGGGAATCCTTGCTGCTGCCTGCCTCTAGACCTGTAAGAGCAGCCCAGCATGACACTCTTTCGTCACATAGGTTCTGTTTCACAGCTCCATCCTCATTGATTTTAGTTTTTCTTGACAGTTTTCTATCCTTGATTAACACTTGTTCAGTCTTCAGCTATCTAGAAGAACTTAAGTTGGTGTGGACAATGGGATTCATCTCATTTGGGTACCCCAATGACTCCGCCACTGCTCAATCTTCCATACACATCTTTTTGGGAATTTTTCTCTACACTTTGAGCCTAAGTTCTGCCAAGCTCTTGGAAAAGTTAACTTTCATCTGGTAAATTCCCTGGGGTTAATCCTCGTCCTCCTTCCATGCTAACGCCAAGATGAGAACCAGTGGTTGAGTTTAACACGCATGGTATATTCGCCGAATATATACCCTTCTTTTGGAACTAGGGCTTTTGGCTGTTCTTCGTCTAGAGGAGGAGCGATGGGAGTGTCGGGAGCGGTAAAGAGGGGATCGCGCTGGCTCAAGCCTGAGGTACAGTCCCCTACATTCTTCCTCCAATCCTTTGTATTCCTTGCTTCCAGCTCTCAATCGCCTGGGCTTTTAGGTTATCCCCTTGATCGGCTTCATCGGCGCGGCCATGGGGCTTGCATCATTCATGTGTGTGAGGAATCTCATGCTCAATCCGGAAGTGAGGTAAGAAAATTTCTCCCCATGGATGGGTTCTTCCTCTTCTATCTAAGTTCCTCAAATTTTTTTGCTTGCTCGCACAGGATAAACAAGGAGGATCGAAGCGCTGGGCTCGTCCAGAATTACAAGGAGGGGTACGAGTACCACGAGCACGGATTGAGGCATTACATGCGCAACAGGAAGTCCGAGATCATGCCCCGGATCAACGAGTACTTCACCAAGACGAGCTAAAATCTTTCTTCTTTCTCTGGTTGTCTCAATAAACCACTGATCAATTCAAAGGGGAAAAGTCGAGAATATCCTTAGTATCATTCATTGCCAGCGCATATTCTCCTCGTTTAAACAGGCGCCACGTCGTTGCACATCCTCTGGCCAATAGCTCGATGACACGTTGGCAGTAAATGCAACGTGGCGTGGACTATATATTAATTTGAGTCTCGTTTAGGGCAAACTGAGACGAAGGAGGGAGAGAAATGGAGGCTATGAAGCGCGCGGCGATGCTCGGCGTGTGCGTGGGAGGGATTTGGGGCGCCTATGTCACGCAGGGCGTGCTGCAAGAGACTCTGTAAGTGGAATCGATCGATCGAGTGAGAGTCTGATTGATCGAGTGATTTTGTGTGTGGCAGCTCCACAAAACGCTTCGGCCCCGATAAGCAGAGGTTCCAGCACCTTGCATTCTTAAATTTCGCGCAGAGCGTGGTTTGCTTCCTGTGGTCATTCATAAGTAATGCATTGTGTGATATTTTTTTTCCTTCTAGAGCTCACGCTGCTACTCTTTTTCTCCAGTGCTTGTCCTCGTTTCACCGAAGAGAACCTCTCAAGCTCCACTATGGGCTTACTGGAGTGCCAGCATTACGAATTCCATTGGTCCCGCTTGTGGAATCCAGGCTTTGAAATACATCAGCTATCCTGCCCAGGTGAGCTTTGGGATTTTACTTGTTTTTCTCATTTGTTCTTCAAAGCTTAAAGTTGAGAATTTCGTTTCCAGGTTCTGGCGAAATCGTCGAAGATGATTCCAGGTATGTGTATTGAATCTGAAAAGCTGGCTGGTATTTATGTGTGCTCCTTTTCGTTTTCTCTTCTGAATCCAGTGATGCTCATGGGGACAATTTTGTACGGTGTCCGCTATACAATTCCTGAGTACCTTTGCACCTTTCTCGTCGCTGGAGGTGTTTCCATTTTTGCATTATTCAAGGTTGTGTGATTTTTCGATTTTTCTCAAAGGTGACATTTTTCTTTCTTTCGTGCAGGGTAGTGTAAAAGCCAGTAAAGTAGCGAGTCCGAATGCTCCTCTTGGATACGGGCTATGCCTGTTAAATCTGGCGTTTGATGGTTTCACAAATGCAACTCAAGACTCTATTACGATGAGGTGAGGAAAAACACAAAGTAACTTAGAGGCTTGACAACGAAAGTTTCATTGTGTGCTGCTCCAGGTATCCGAAAACAAGCGCTTGGCATATAATGATGGGAATGAACTTCTGGGGTTCCATTTACATGGGTCTCTACATGTTTGGATGGACGAGCGGGGGATTCGAAGCTCTGAGCTTTTGCAAGCAGCACCCGGAGGCTACGTGGGACATTTTCTTCTTTTGCCTCTGCGGAGCCGTCGGCCAGAACTTCATCTTCCTTACCATCAGCTGGTTCGGAACGCTGGCTCTCACGACAATCACAACAACGAGGAAGTTCGTAAGCATTCTCGTGTCGTCGCTGTGGAGGGGCAACCCGCTGACGCTGGAGCAGTGGATCGGCGTGTCGATGGTCTTTGCTGGGCTTTCGTACCAAATTCTCCTCAAGTGGAGGAGGCAGACGAAGAAGCGGCCGCTAAGAAAGAAGGCCGTGTGATTGACCCCCTCTCGAAGACAGTTAATGTACACCGAGTAGAAGGTATGAGAAGAAAGCATCCATTTCTTTTTTTGTTTTTACTCATTTGCTTCCTTTTCCGCTCCAGAGGGGAGGGTGGCTTTTAAGTCCTGGCATTCAATGGCCAGCCATTCCTTTCTCTCTTTGCTTTGCAGAGGAGCTGGAAGAGGCAATGGATTGGAAGCACAACTTCCCTGTCCTCTGCGAGCAAAGTCTATATACTTTTTAAAACATTGTTTTATTTTTTGCACACTTTTTCTTCTTCTTTCCTAAAGTTTGATCTTTGAAGGTTTTGTTTTTAACAGTTTTTCCGATTTGCAGTTCCCAGCTGGGACACAGGCTGGCTGTCCGCACACGGGAAGAGAAAGGATGGCACGCGGTGAAAAACAAGAGTCTCGGAACTGCGTACATACTTTGCGATTGTGGCGCCTTCCAGACAAAGCGACAGGCTCCTACAGTGTAAGAAGTAAGAATGTCCACCAGGGAGAATGACAACCGAGGTAAAAATGCCTGATAACAGAACGCTTTGCTTGATCCAGACGTTTCTAACGCTCTCTCGTGTTTCCAGGAGCTAAAGGAAAAAAAAAAAAAAAACTCGGCCGATGAATTAACGCGGCCGAAAGAAAAGGAGGGACCGACCAAATGCCGAGTTTTTCCATCTCCGATACAGTTTCGAGTATGGACAGCCAACGAGACAGGCAGGCCAATCAATGTCACATAGGTGATCCCTTTTCATTCATTCTTTTTTGTATTTCGTCGCTTCTCTCATCTTCAGGTGATCACACATACCTGTATCAGCCCCTGGTGGCTGGTTTCATTCCATACAGGATTCCACAATCCAGCGATAAATTATCAGCGAGTTTTTCCTTAAGTAGATACGCTTTTCTTTGCTACGTTCTTAAGACAATACGCTTTTCCTTGCCAAGTTTGCACGCTGCTAATCGACTTCTCTGTTCGTTAGCTTGGATCTCCAGATTTTCAAGGCAAAGTTTCGAATTTTTCGCTGTACGAACATGCTAGACGTTAGCCGAGGACCAAGTATCGCATAAAGATGAAGTGTAGAGCACATGTCCCCAAGTTACAACCATGTGCTATAGTTTCTATTAAATTCCACATTGCCGTGTTATAGGCCCATAAGTTTTGACCGATCAAACAAAGGTTAGATTTAATCTTAACCCACACATGTACGTTTTTTAATGCTTGTTTTGGTTGGTTGGCCATTAGGTTTTCCACTTTGTCTTTGGCGGTGTCATGCAAAAGAGATGTCCTTTCCTTTCCCACACAGCCCGGAAGGATACATGGAAGTGCGTGGGTCCTCCACAATCGCGGTTAACGGCTGGGATTTGCGCTGGATGTGATCCCCACCGCCCATTCTGCCCATTACAACGGTTAAAAAACCATTTGCCAGTGTACGAGCCGTTTGGGCGGACACCACGCTCTCACTTAAATCCGGCTCAATGCGGCTGCTAACGAACCAGTCTGGTAACCACCGTTTCCTCAAACGGTAAACTCTACCTGACCGCGGCCAGCAAGGTCCACGAGCGGTTAGCCGGATGCTTACACGTGTCCCCCAAGAAGCATCCTGGCGGATAAATCTGCCAGGCTGGCTGGGTTGCCACGCGGCACTGCCAGATTGGTACGCTCTTTTGCATGGATGTGGCCGCAAGTTCTTCCTCTGTTTCTTGTGAGTCTAGTCCTGTCCAGCCCGGCTTGGAGCTCGCGCTTCGCGTCTTCAATCGGCAATGGCGGCCGCGCGTTAGGTCACCGGCATTCCTCGCGGTGAGTGACATGACGCTAGGTTCTATAAGAGCGTCCGCTCACATTCTCGTTTCTCGTGGCGATTTCGCAGGTCTGAGCTCCTGGCATTGGATTTCTTGGTCAGATCGCAGCCATTCTGGATACCATGGCAATGCCGCGCTTCTTGCTGCTGATTCTCGCGATTCTGGGGTTATTGCACTCCTCCCGGGCCGATGCTCCCATTTCTTTCTTCGACTGGGTTGTGTCTTATGAGACTCGGGCCCCTCTTGGCGTCAAGCAACAGGTACTTCGTTCTTTCTTTCGATTCTTCTTCTCTTCTTCTTCTCTTTCTTTTGGATTTTTTTGTGTCGATTCGTTGGTTGGGCGGTGATGTAAACCCTTTCTTGTTTGGTGTGCTCTCAGGTGATCGTGATAAATGGGATGTTCCCGGGTCCAGTGCTAAACACCACCACCAACAGGATCAACATCGTCAACGTCCAGAACAATCTGGATGAGCCCTTTCTACTCACCTGGTATGTGATCTACAGATCAAAGCTCCTCTTTCTCTTTTCTCAAGAGATCTGGACTTTGCTTGCCTACATTCTTTGTTTTCGTGGATGGAATTCTAAAGTTTCCTCCGCAGGGATGGTATCCAGAACCGAAGAAATGCCTGGATGGATGGAGTTGCGGCAACGAACTGTCCCATACCGGCAGGCCAAAACTTCACCTACAACATCACGGCTAAGGATCAAATTGGCAGTTTCTTCTACTGGCCAACGACGATGTTCCAGAGAGCTGCTGGCGGTGTTGGGTCTGTGAGGGTGAATCCGCGTGCTGCCTCGGGTGTGAGGGTGCCATTCGCACCTCCAGACGGTGATATAGTTGTTATGATTGGTGACTGGTACACTCGGAGCCACAAGGTATGTGCTCTTTAATGATCCACCTAGCAATATGAAGTCAAGGCATAGCACTGCAGGAATTGCGAGCTTCTCTAGACAGGGGCGTTTTACTCGGGATGCCAGACGGTGTTCTTATCAATGGGAAAGGAGCTTACAACAGAACCACGGATTACGAAACCATCCCTGTGCGAAGAGGTACAAAACTCATTGATTCCGTGAGAAAAAAAAATAAAAATGGAAGCATTGACTCACTCCCTTGGCTGTGCTTGCAGATCATGTATACCGGTTTCGAGTGACAAATGTGGGTGTGAGCACGACTCTAAACTTTCGGATTCAAGGCCACCAGCTCAACCTTGTGGAAACCGAGGGGTCTTACACTGTGCAGCAACCATACGACTCTATAGACATTTTCGTGGGACAATCGTATTCGTTTCTTCTTAACTGCACTGCAAATGCTAGCGACTACTACATCGTCGCTAGCCCCAGGTTTGTGGGCAATGAGACCGAGTGGGCGAATATCACTGGTGTTGGAGTCCTCCATTATTTGGACTCCAAGGCTTTGGTTAATGGCCCCCTTCCCGAAGGGCCCAGTATTTATGATGGGGGCTGGTCCGTAAATCAAGCTCGTCAACTCAGGTATGTGTATCCTGTTCAAACTTCCAAGACTAATCTTTGTCACCGCAGACGTAACTTGACAACTGGAGCGGCTCGGCCAAATCCTCAAGGCTCTTTTCACTATGGGCAGATCAACGTCACACAGACATTCGTTTTGACAAGTACCGCAGTATCAATTGCCGGGAAGCGACGGTTCGCGGTCAATGGTTTTTCTTTCGAAGTTCCATCCACACCTCTGCTTCTCGCCGACGAGTACAACATTACAGGCCTATACAAGCTCAATTCTTTCCCAGAAAAAGCTGGAAGCGTCGTTCCTGGCCTCCAGACGTCCGTCGTAAACGCCACGTACGCTGGTTTCTTGGAGATCGTCTTTCAAAACCCGGACAACAACTCGGTCCAGTCGTGGCATGTCGATGGCTATGCGGCATTCGTCGTCGGGTATGTAGGTTGGAATTTTCATATGCCACAGGCTGATCGATGTTTGCTTCTTCAGATACGGACCAGGGCAATGGACTGAAAATGATAGAGGCCAGTACAACAAATGGGACGCTGTATCTCGCTCCACCGTTCAGGTACTGAATGACCCGAACTTGTTTCTTTCTGCCTCTTGGTTTTTGTTTTCTAAACCATTGCTTTTCCCAGGTTTTCCCTGGCTCCTGGACGGCCATCCAAATCTCCCTGGACAATGTGGGCTTGTGGAACATCCGCTCAGAGGACTTGGTCCGCCATTATCTCGGCCAAGAAATCTACATGTTCGTGAACGATCCAAGCGACAACATCAAGAACACGGCTTTCCCGAAACCAGACAACGTCCTCTATTGTGGACGGCTTGCAAATCTTGCTCCGCTATCGAGGTACTTACAGCAACCAACCTCCTCAACTTCGTTCATATACTCATTCCAATCTCATCGTTCTTTTGCAGTCGCCATCGCAAGAGCTCCGGCACCCAAGCAGCGAAGCTCTCCTTGACTACATTGCTCACTCTGGCGAGCGCTGCGCTCCTGAGCTTACTGTGGCTCTAGAGGTCTGTAGAGGATTGATTGACCCGACGGTTTTGCATTTCATTTTTTTTTTCTAGTTTGAGGAGCCACATTACTGCTGAGAGATATATTGGGTGTTGGTTTTTTTGATCTATCTCTGAAAGGAAGAAACCACCATTTTGTTTGCTTGCTCTTCTTCTCTCTCTTCTCTCCTCTCTCCCAAGTTGCTGGTGATGATTTGTAAGTTTGTGAGAAGAATTCATACTCTTTTTTCCTATTCTTTGTAGAGTCAAGGTGTTGATCAGTTTTGACGTTCTTTGACGAGAATCGGAAACTTTGGTTCTAGAAGCAAGGATTTGATTAAACTAGGACACGAGCTGGAGTGTGGCCTCACGCGCCGGCATGTGAAAACACAATTTGGAAGGCTTGTTTAACTTAATGATTATTGGTAAGCTTCGTGGAGATTAACCGTTGTCACGAGCGATCGCGTGGCTTTTCGTGGTGGATTTAACCCATAAAATTTGTTTGTCAACGTCCCTCTCATATATAGAGAGGTTAATTCCATGACAAGCTCTAAGATCCAGCGAAGTACACCACTCAGTGGCTAGCTAGTTGGTGTTACTAGCAAACAAGAAAGTTTCCATTTAGTTCCCTGTACTATGAGAGCGTACCAGTCCATCCATGATAAGGGGAATCTTTAGCAAGAGGTGAAGAATTGAAAGAAGGAGAAGAGGAGGAGGAGGAAGTGGAAGTGAGGATCTTTCTTCTCTGCTCAAGGGAGCTCATGGAGCAGCGAGACGGAGAGCTTCTAGCCGGGCAAGTCGAGGGAGAGGTAAACTCCACCACTTTCCAGAGCTTCAACCTCGATTTCCTCAGCGCCGAGCACCAGCAAAGCCTGCTGGCGGCGAATTTCCAGCCGTGGTCCTCGAGCAGCAGTGGAGCTGGAGCCTGTGCTGCTGCGGCCGAGGATGAGGATGTCAAGGGACTGCTCACTCCGCCCAGCAGTCCCTCCGGCGCGAGCAACAGTGGCGGCAGTAAGTTCCCGTCCGGCCTGGCTCAAAAGATCGGCTACCTCCAAATGGTTGTCAATATGCTGGGCAGCAACAACAGCGCGCGCGGCCAGTCGAGCAGCGGCGCTCAGCAGCAGCAAATTGGGAAGCTCGTGGATCAGCTCCTGGTGACGGCCAGAGGTATGTTCTTGGAGCAGCAGCAGCAGCAGGAACAACATCAAAGTGCTTCCTTTGCTGCGAATCCCTCCAGCGATCGCTACTTTAACATCTCTCCGGAAGAACTCGTCTACCATCATCATCACCATCAGCAGCAGCAGCAGCAGCAAATTCTCCAGCAGCAGGCTTATAACCAGCAGCAGCAAATGCCTTATCAAGGCATTTTTCCAAAGCCGGAGAGTATGACTCCAGTGGAGAACCTCTATGCGGGTGTGGCGGCGGCTGCAATCGTTGATGGAGACGAAGACGAATCTCTCCAGGAGAGCCAAGACTCGTACGAGCTGATCGAGCTCGACGCCATGGAGATCCTTGCCGAGCACACACACTTCTGCGAGATTTGTGGCAAGGGATTCAAGCGCGATGCCAACCTCCGCATGCACATGAGAGGCCACGGCGACGAGTACAAGACACCGGCGGCCCTTGCCAGGCCCAAAGGTGACGAAGAACACCGCAGCGATGGCAAGAGGAAAGTCTCCAGCCCAAAGTTTCTACCCAAGCGCTACTCCTGCC